CAGTGAGTTGATTTCTCACAACGGATCTGGTTGAACTCCACTGGTAACGGCTTCTCACATATTTGTTTTGTTATATAATCGGCTGTTTGATGAAATTATTAAATTTTTTTGAAAAAAAAAGACATTTAATACCATAAATGTGACATATTTATCTACATGGTGTTTGATGAATAATGCTTTAGAAACAAAAATAGCTCGATGATTTTCACCTCTTCGGTGCTTACATTCAGGAAGAACACTTCTATTTAAGGCCCAAGAAAAAGAAATTGGTTTCAGGGATGATCTTGAAAATTAAAGCATCTAAACAACATTTGCTAGAAGCCAGTCACGTACGGCTTTTTTGTGAGTAGTTTGCGATTTTTTGGCTTTGTACTTATATGGTCTTTTCTATGGCGACGAAAAAATTAGAACTAAAAGTGTTAAATAGCATCTGTGATTTCTCGATAAATTCTCATGAAACTGTCAGGTTAATCTTAAATTACTTTAGCTAATTAACGCTCCTGAATAAAACTTAATGGAAATCTGAGAAAGAACCCATTCTTGTTCTCTTCAATTTGATTAGACAATTAGAATTTTTAATTAATCTTGGTACCTTTTCTAGGATCCTCTCAAATCCCAAAATCATCTCTCAATTTATGTATTACTTTTTGTTCTGTACGTAAATTTACCTCAGAGGTAAATCTCTGTTCATATTATCTTCTCTTTTCCTTTAAAAAATAAGTGATATCAATTTTGGAACTTTGTAGGGATCGTTTAGAAAATCAACAATATATCATGAATTTATTGTACCAGATATGAGAAAAAAAACATTTTCATTTAATGTCATTATAAAATATAAAACTTGATTCTTGAAACTTACACACAATTGAATAGTTAATTTTCCTTAAATATCTATACAATTTTCAATTATTTCTATGATTGATTTAATTAGTAATTTGTGAATGAATTCAAGTTACAATGACATTAATAATTTACAAAACATCTTTAAATATAGAACACCAGAATGAAATATCATTTATTTAAATTCACTTGATATTGTTTGGCTTGTATCTTCCCATTGAGGTTTAAGATTACAATTGATCCGTCTGTTATTGACATATGTGCATACTGTGTGTATGCCTCGACATAACCTTAATTCACAAGATACAAGCCAAACAATACCAAGTGAATTTAAACTTCACCCCATTGCACAAGCAATTGACTATCAGGACTCAGTAGCTGAGTGGATAACGCGATGGCATTTGAAGCGAATGGTACTGGGTTCGAGTCCCAGAGTGAACATCAACTCAGATGCAAGTACATCCATATGACGAGTCCCAAATAAGACGAAATGCGCGTCCTGGATTCCACTGCTAGCCACTATCCATCATTGCTTATCATTTATTTATTTAGTTTGTTTTTTTCTTATTCTAACATAACCTTTTTACTGTCATATTATTTAAATGTGAAATAGTAGAAAATAAACCTTTATGGTGTGAATAAAATTACTATCTTCATATTCTTTCGCTTAGATTTTATAAATACAATCTTCTTCTTTATTGTCTCACATTAGCTCGTCACCAGAATACTGTGAAACTATTCGGTCAAATTTAGACAAAAGTTCTTATTTATCTTCTGTATATTTATTATTCCAAATAAAAGATGATGGTAATACTTTTTAAAAAAAAATTTTTCTAGACATTTACAGTATTTATATACTTTACATGTTGTATACATTATACAAATAAACCTTAGTTAATAAAAAAACAAAAACTAAATCAGTAGTATCTTCATGATATCAGTTAGTAGATTATTAACAATAAAATATTTATTTGTATTAAATTACAGTTGTTTTTGTAAAATAATATGATTTATTTAAGTTATTATTTTACGGTCATAGGTTCAAACTTCTCTTTTTTTATTTTTCACTATATAGAGATCAATAAAATTTCTATAAAGAATGTTTATATTCTGTTTATGATCAGAATGAGGGTTTGTAAAAATTGTAGTAGTTTTAATAATTTCAACAGTTGAGATTATGAGTCAATTGAAGCTAGATCACCATGGAAAAACTGAAAGCATTGGACGGCTGTTTCGTCCTATTGTGGGACTCCTCAGCACTGCGCATCTGCGACCTCGCCTCGTGGGATTCGAACACAGGACCTATCAGTCTCGCTCCAGGCGCTTAACCAACTAGACCACTGAGCTAGCCGGCATCCAACGGTGTTAATGCCTAACTTCAACCAATCAACGAACTTGAGTGACACATTCACTATTGTCTTCAGTGAGTTGATTTCTCACAACGGATCTGGTTGAACTCTACTGGTCACTGCTTCTCACTAGAACCTAGAACCACTGGTCAGTAGGACGAGACGGCCATCTAGTGTTTCCAGATTTTCCATTGTGGTCTAGCTTCAATGGACTTATGATCTCAACTGTTTTAATTTTCATAGTTGAATTCATGAGTTGAAGTAAGCTGGACTACCATTGAAAACCTGAAAACATGGGTTTGAGTCCCTTATATAGGATCGTGAATGAGCACTACTAAGTCTTATACTACGATGAAACCACCATCCAGTATTTCCAGGTTTTTAATGATGATCTACCTTATATGGACTCATAAATTCAACTAATAAAATGTATTTTGTTTAGTTGATTGATAGTATTTATCAACTGTCATCTAAATGTCAGAAATGTTGCTAGAGACATAATGATGATTCAATGTTTGAAAAATAAACACAAACTTTTTATAGGTTATGTTAACAAACAACTTTAAATGTGTATAACAAACTAAAAAGAACATTGGTAAATAACAAATATTTATCCTATTCTGATTGCAAGCTACTTCTATGTTATATGTTTACTACCTATTTTAGAAACATTAACTTTGTAATTCAATGGTACTTCATTTGACATAAATTTTTATTACCTTCAATGAAACATTTAAATTATTTGACAATTACTGTCGATATTTTTCAGTCATTTATCATCAACATAGGAACTGGAACAACTGTACATCAGTTTGAGTTATTTCGTCTTATTTTATCCATCTAACAAAAATGCAACAACAGTGGAAGTACGTGACAAAAAATAATGTCAAGTGAATTCGAAATACATAAAAAAGAGGAAATAAGATCGATAGGGTTAACATTTATGAATTAAAATTATTATTTAAAGGAAAATTGAAAAAATGAGTACCATGACTGATCAGATTAAATAATTTTTATTCATACTTATTCTTTTCAAAAATTTTTTAACTCATTAACTATTTATACATTTAATTACTACGATCTGTGAATTGTTATGAGTACTGGACAATCGATTTGTCTTAATTTAAAACTCTTCAACAGAAAATATCCGCGGTCACATATGGGATCTCACATCACACCAAAGATCACAATACCAATATCAATAAAGTTCTATGTTCAAATCGAATGTCCATCTATTCTCATCAATGATCACGATTTACATCATGGGTTAATTTAAGTTAGATGTCTACTGAAAACGTGCAAGCAGTGAACAGATGATTTGTTCTAGTATATGACTTATTAATAGTACGCATCCACGACATAGCTGGCAACTGAACTCAAGGTCTTGAGTTTTGGAGTAAGCACTTAACTTCCACACCAAGTGGTTCCACATCGAGATGAAATAGCTGTCCATTGCTTCCTAGTTTTCATTGGTTAATGTAAGCTAAAAAATCAACAATTTCCACACACCTTATGATTTTAATTAATAAACAAATTTGCTATTCATCATATGATACTGGCAATTGTTTGATCTTCAATTCATCTAATTAATTTATGAGAAAACCTTAAAAATTACTCATAACAGAATGTCATTTGTTAAGTAAACAACATTCCATTTCAATATTTTCATATCTCATTATGTGTTTTATTGGGCTAATTGTTCTGTGATCAAATTTTTAATTCAAGTCCTTCAATCCATAAACATTGTTTACTGTTAGAAAATGAGTATTGTTGAAAACATAATTCCAAAACCAACATAAAATAGATGGCTGCTTTCCTGCTCCTAAATTCTTAAGTAATCATTTGAAAAACATGTATATTGAGCAAAGAAACATTCTTTCAAATCATTTCAATAATTTAATAGTTGAATTCATAAGTCAATTAAAGCTAGACCACCACGGAAAATCCGGAAGCTCTGAACGACCTTCGGCCTTGCGCATGAGCGTATAATCTCTAGACCGGAATCCAACGGTGTGAATGTCTCACTTCAACCAATCCACGAAATTACGCCACCGTCCACTATTGTCTTCAGTGAGTTACTGCCTCACAACAGACACGGTTGAACTCCACTAGTCATGACTTCTCACTAGAACTCCAGGAAATACCACTTAGAGACCGTCACTAGTGAGCGTATGATGATTATAATCAGAGAGGGGTTTTGTGGATATTATAGTAATTTAATAGTTGAAGAGTCCCATACAAGGACGAAACGGCCGTCCAGTGCTTCCAGGTTTTCCATGATAGTCGAGCTTCAATTGACTCATGATTTCAACGATTGAAATTTCTAAAATCTCCACAAAACCCCTTTCTGATAATAATTCAATAATTGTTTGTAATATTTAGTTATCAAGTTGAATGACTATACAACTGATGATGGCGTTTTATGTCAACAAGTATATGTATGTGTTTATATGTATATATATATATATATATATATATATATATATATATATATATATATACTTTCGTTGATTGTTATACACCAATTGTTCAAAATGTACTTGCTTTTGTCAATACAAACTACTATTGATTTTCAACCGTCGCATATTATTATCCAATGTGAATTGATTAACTATTTTATACCTCATGATAATGCATATATAGATTTGAGTTGTATGTGTATGGATGCATCAAATGATCGTACAATTATGTTCGGAAAAATAATTTGTACTTTGCTACTTACCTTATTAATTCCTTCAGTCTAAATCATAATCATGCTTTAAATTGTAATTACTAAACTTAATAAGATTTTTAAGTGAAGAGGTATATATTGTGGACAGTTCTCTAATAAGTCTTAAAGGTATGTTGCATTATAAACTGACAACCACTGAATAATTAATAAAAGGTCAGTATACAGTCGATAATAATTTTATGTTAGTTTGAGACTTCCTGAAAGTCAAGACTTATGTTTACATGCATCAATGTATATCAGAATCGTTTTTTATCACAATGAGAACTATACTGTCAAATCACTAAGTTGTAATATAATTATCCTCTTTTCTGATTTCAGTTAATTTATTCTAGAACGCAATCATTCTTTTCAACTTTTATCTATAAATCAGCATAATGTATTACATTAATGTCGTTGAATTAAATGATTAAAGATGAAAAATGAATGATATCCTTAATTGTAGGTGGACTATTTAAATTTAGATTAAGGATACTTTAAAGCATATGACCTTGACTTTGATATATAAAATATCGAGGTGCTCCGTAAGGGATGCACATATGCCAACAAGAGACTGATCAATTGTAATTCTTAACAATGGGAAGATACAAGTAAACAATACCCAGTGAATTTACATTTAATCATGTTTTGTTAAGGATATCATATTGATTATATTTTGTCATTATGTTTTAACTGACATTAGTTTTTTTATTTTCAAAACTATAATAAACATCATTTTCTCTGACAAATGAATTCTTTTAAAAAAAACATCCAGATTTTATCGCTTTGATTTGTATCACAATACTCGTATTCACTTAACACATTATAATCTTTATAAGCAAAGATAGATAGTGGCTAGTAATGGAATCCACCTCGGTGTACCTGCATCCTAGAGTTGATCTTCACTCGAACTCAGTACCATTCGCTTCAAACATCATCACGTCATTCGCTTAGCTACTGAGTCCTGGTAGCCACCTGCTTGTGTAATCGGGTGAGGTTATTAAAAATTCACTTGGTGTTGTTACTTGTATCTTCCCACCGTTATTCAGGACTGCAATTGATCAGTTTCTTTTCGGCATATGAGACTGATCAATTTCAGTCCTAAATAACAATAATAAGATACAAGTAAACAACACCAAGTGAATTTAACAACAATATAATCTTGATCAATTAGTAATCACCTTTCTGTTCAGCTAATATTTCAATTTTCACAAAGTATCATTTTATAGATATGTTACTCTACGCACAAACAATATAAATGATCAATATCGATAGTGAACTGAGATTTGATAGAATAGAATTATGCAAATCCATTTTCAAACATAATAACTAAGTATAGACAGTGAATTTCTATTTCTTCATCTATTGTATGAAACGAAAACCAAAGCATAATGGTTAGAACGTTGAATTTGATCAGATCGATATGCTTCTGCATATATATATATATATATATATATATATATATATATATATATATATATATATATATATATACTTATGAACAGTCGTTGTTTGACAGATAAATTAAATACATAAATTTATATTCAGTGCGTTCAATAGTTATCGAAATTGATTGAGAAAAAAAGTCATTTCGATACTATATAGGTTCGTTTTTGAATGTTCATTTCATCAACCTTCTACACCTTAATAGTTAGTTGTAACCATTTCTAAAAACACCGACTTCCGTCAATAATCAATTTATAAATGATCTCTTATCATCTTCTTTAAACCTGATCCATAGCAAACCATCAACTAAAAATAGGAATAAAATCTTACTGTGCAAATAGAAAGCAGATTAAATACCCTTCGCTTGTAAGTGATATACTACTAACGAACTTTAAGGCAAAACACTGACACTCAGGTGAGGAAAACCAATTTATTATCTCGTGCAAAATTACACAGTGCTTTCTAAAATACTTTATTTACACATCTTCTTTCATTTGTCCTGTACAGAATTCTTCATTCTTCAGATTTGGCTGTCATCCTAATTGCTCTCTGATGCCCTTTCTGTTTTCTTCAATTCAATCTTTTCTATACTGCTCTGCTGACAGGCATTCCACATACGATTGGAGTTACATACTACTTATATATGTTAACATAAGTAGCCTAAACGACAATACTGATGAGAAGTTAGAAATTCGTTAATAGCATTAAAAATGAAAGATTTTATGCAACGAAATAAAGTTCAAATTCGATTAATAAAATAGTATTAACTTAGGAGTTTGTGTTGAAGTTGTTGAATTCTCATAGCTTATATCACGGACTCATATTACTTTGACAACCACTAGAAAGCAGAAAACACTGAAATTGATTGAAATTTTACATATATATCACTGAAAGTTGGTTCAACGGTCTGAAGATTAGGCTTGCACGGCGAGGTCTATAGGTCCTGTATTCCATTCCAAGGTGGGTATGTGGTTGTGTATTCGTGAGGAGTTTCATACTAGAACGAAACACCAATGTTCCTTGGTTCCCAATGATTACCTGACTAAGATTGGTTCATAATCTAAACTATAAGAAAAAACTATCACTCAATAATTTCAGTTATGTAAAAAATATTAACAAACTGTTAACTTGACTTAATTGTTGATTTCTATATCTGTTTGCTACTCAGTTAATTTGATTAAAAGTATCTATACACCATGTGTTAGACATTTATTTATTGATTATTGTTTGTTTACTTGGTATTCTAACATTTTCAGTTGTGTTTTTTTTTAAAAATTTCTTCATATTGTTTAAAAATTAGTAAAAAAAGTTAATGGTTTCATTATTATACCATCTTTTAATCTATTCGTTATTCCACTGAATTCGGTGAATGTTTCCATGTGCATACCAAATATACACATAGAGAATAATGTTTTAAATCCTATTCTTAGTATAATCAATTTGATATGTTCAATATATTTCTAAATTTTTGACTGTCTCTAAGATCACATGAGATCATTTATTTGATTTTCTAACAGGTATATCATGTATTTCTAAGAGGTATTATATATAATGTAATTAATCGATCAGTAATAATACAGTACTGACTGTTTTGAAATAAGCAAATAGAATACCGAAAAGAATCTACAAATATTTCATTTTTGCATTCCTTTAATCTGTGCAGATATTTTGTTATGCAGTTATTAAAATGCAATAAAAAAAATCATCAATAAGTAATGAATAAAGAAGTTTCGTTGTTTATAGAGGTGGATAATTTATGAGAAGTTATTCAGTTCCATGATAGTTTTCACTCTTCTCTTACCCTTTATTTCTAGTCTAGTTGATATTTTTTATTTTTATATATAAATGTTCTTAACAGGTCTATATGTGTGATCAGATTGTTCAAGATGTATTGCGTTAATATATCACATAGTTCTAATAATCTTCGTTTTCTTATTACATTAGTTGTATTTAATAAATTTCGTTTATGGTATAAACATATTTTTGTGTTCAGAATCATATACATTCTAATGAGGTATGGCAACTTGGACCGATGCATATATGTGCCTGGTCCTACGTTGCAGCTGACTGACTGACTGACTAAATCATATACATTCATGAATAACCTTAATTACTTTAAAAGTGATCATTCACAATTGTCACCGTAAAATTTATATAATGTATTTCTTTATTTTAATTTAGAAAATCTAATTGAAATTATCAAGAGCACATTCATAGGAAAATAACTTCAATTGATAAAGATAACAGATAGACATTTAATTTTTTAACTAATTCTTATAATTATGAGTTCAATTTGTTATTATAAAGTGTTAGGTTTAACTAAAACAGCTACAGATGAAGAAGTACGTCGTGCATATCGTCGTTTAGCACTTAAATGGCATCCAGATAAAAATCCAACAAATTTAGAAGAAGCAGAAAAAAAATTTAAAGAAATTAGTGCAGCTTATGAAGTTTTATCAGATCCACAAAAACGTTCTGTCTATGATTCACATGGTAAAGATGGCTTAAATCGTACACATGTAAAAACTTCTAAATCAACAAGGCCACCTAGTGGACGACGTCGACATACAGCATCAGGAACATTTTTCACAGATGATATATTTGATACAAGTGATTTCTTTCCATTTAATGATTTCGGTTTTACATTTCGAGATCCTGAAGAAGTGTTCCGTGAATTTTTCAGTAAACATGTAGATATGATGAATGCATTTATGGATACAGCTGGTCTATTTCGATCACATGGTCATTTACATGATATATTTAATAATGATCATCATTTCAATGTATTACCTAGTCGTCATTTACATCATACAACTAGTTATAAATCAACTAATGAACATCAACCACGATTTCATCATGTTGAACGTATACGTAAAACAAGTTTACCACAAAATGTACCAGTACGTAGTTTGTCTACAAAAACATCATATAGTTTTAATTTTGGTAGTTCTAGTCGTCCTGGTCATCCACCAATGAGAAAAGAAACATTTCGATCAACTTCAACTAAAATTGAAAATGGAAAATGTGTTACAACACGTAAAATAGTACAAGATGGTATAGAAACAATTGAAATAGAAGAAAATGGTATATTAAAAATGAAAACAATCAATGGTCAACCAGTTGCTATTGCTAATGGTTAATCATGTATATTTATTTTTCATATAGTGATAATATTCTTTTCTATAATAAAGTTCTAAAGTATTTTCTTTTTTTAAAATATAACTATAAGAAATGTGTATACATAAATTTGTTTCATAATGATAAAAATAATAGTAATGATTATTATTATTATTATTACTGGTAGTAGTCGTAATATACTTTTCATTGTATTATCTTTCTGGATATGTATTCGCTCTAACTAAAGGTATTGTGAATGTATTATTCAATGTTCCATTCTAACACTCAATACATATGTCTTAATTAAGTTTCAAACTTTTCAGTTTACATTTATTTTCTACGAAGCTGTTTAGAAACTTTCACAAATGTCTTTTCTTTTTCTCTGACTATATGCAAACAATTTTTGTTTACTATCTGTATGTTGTAACCAACTGTACTACCATATTTTCACAAGTTTAATATATTTTTCTTTGAGATACTTTTCATTTATCTTTTTTGTTGTTTTTTTCCTTTCTTAAACATTTAAACAATTCGAATGTTTTCAAATTCTTCTCTTTTCTTCTCTATGTGTATACTCATTTGTTTCGGAATGAATTTCTTCAATGATGATTGGTAATTCTATTTTCTAATACCTTTCCTAAATTAGTTTCGGAGTTTTTTTTTCCCCTATCTTATATCTGTATACCTGTGTTTTATAAATATTTTTATCTTCAGTCTACTGTGATTTATATTGTTATTGATCTTTTTGTGCTATATTTTATAAGCCAATTTATAAATACATTTACAATCATCGACTAGTGATGATAGATAAATTATGTTGGGTGTAAACTATGTGGATATGTGTGTATAGACTTTTTTAAAATTTTTCATTAACATTATATGTATGTGTATGTGCACTGATTGATGTTGTTACTGGCGCTAATATACAAATGCAAACGCACTTGATCATAAATAAATGCGTCAATAAGGAGATTAACATCAATAAAATTGCTTTTCCTAATCAATTTTATTTTATTACTGAGATTAAATCAGTGTAATCAAGATAGATATTTATTTTGCAAAAGCAAATACTTTTAAAACAGAAATGTTAAATGCTATTTTACTGCTATACTTAGCGTATCATTGAAACAGCACACTAAATAATACTATATATATACATATAGTGTGTGGTATATAGTAGTTGAACAGTGCAAACATCTTTTTCCATGTTTGTATGTATAAAAATCTGTGTGCGAACACAGTAGTATTTTAGTATGAATCATAAATATACATATAATGCTGTAAAGTTTGTGATTATTTCTATTAACGAATTCTGTTCTTTCAAGACGAGATGGGATGGTCAGTATAAGTAATTTGTATTTACCAATTAAAAAACTAAACACTAAGCTTTATCTGCCGTTTCTTTAAAGCGAAATTATTTACGTTACGTTAAGCAGATTCTATGGTTTAGATTACATACTGAAATGTTATGTAATTTGTTTGTGATATAACGATAGTGGCTAAGTTGTTGTATAAACCATTTTTAGTCACTAAATTTCAGGTTTCCATATCGATCTACCAGCTTAGCACGGTTCAACTATATAGGATACCTAGGCGTTAAAACGAATTATAATTGCGATTCATCAATTATATATATAATTTTAGCATTTTTGAAACTGGTCAACTAATGATTGCCAAAAAATATTTTGATGTGTGAATACACATGTCAATGCAAGATTCACCTAATAATTCAAGTGTCACATAATAGGATCGACTGATTTAATCCATTAAATCTGGTAAAGTATTAAATTAGAATACCAGTGATAAGTGATAAATTAACAACGATCAATTGTAATACTAAGAATACTTTGAGAATATTAGTTTAATTCTGGAAGACTTCAGCTAACGAGTCCCAACTAGGACGAAACGTGCGTCGAGGATTCCACTGCTAGCCACCATCGATCTTTGCTTATAATGCTTGTGATTCAAGGTAATATTGAGTTAATTCACACGGGGTGCATATATGTCAATAAGAGACTGAAAAATTGTAACACTAAACGTTAATGAGAAGATTTAAACAACCAATATAAGATGTTTTATTAACATGTTTGTCAATAGCAACTCATTTATTTAGGGAATATTCATCATATCCAAAAATTATCAGGAATGCTTCATGCTCAGTTAATTTTCACTATCTTCACCTATTGATATTCTTCAACTACTTCACTATATAGTTATATCCAAACTCATAAAACCATTATTCCAATTACTATTGCTCCTAAATACTGTAGGATTTGACAAGGCTGATATTTGTGAAACGCACACAAAGACGTGAAATGGAATAAGAAATTGTGGGAACTTTTATACTTTACACTTATATTTACTTGAAAAATGGCTTTTGCTTGTCACTTATTAAGAATAGTTGCCAATACATTTACTATGATCGGCATTATCATATGATAGTTGGAACGTCTACTACCAAGTGACCGTCAGTCGAGTACATACTAATAGTATAACAATTTTTCGACTGGAATTTCTTGTAATTACGGTTTGAAGATGATGGCAATTTATCTACAACTGATAAAGAGCACAGAAGTGATGACAGATTATAGTTATCTTATAATTACATTAAACAAAGATATTATCATATGTTAACAGTCATGATCACTAAAGTTCAATAATGAATGCTTAAATGGATTGTTGAGTTCTGAACACAGTATATAGAACAATAAAATGACCCCCTCTGTGATGCACATTAATTACTAAGATTCAAATAAGTATATGGATAGTTTTCGTAAAATTGGGTGCTTCACTTAATAACTGTTCGAATAGAATTATATGCATGACAAGTATGATATTGTATTACTCCTCCTGGAGAAGCACAGGACGCCCACTTGTATTCTCCAACCAACTCCGTACTGAATGATCCTTTCCAGTTGTTCCCAGTTGCTCATTCGTTTAGTCATTGCGTCCTATTCACATTGCATTGTGCTTTTTGATCTGCTCCTTTTCTCTTCAGAGTTCCAAGTTAGGACTTGCTTTGTAATGCAGTCTGATAATTTCCGCAATGTGTGCCCTATCCACTTTCAGTGTTTTTTCCTAATTTCCTCTTCATATGCAAGCTGGTTTTTTCTCTCCCACAGTAGGCTGTTGCTGATGGTATTCGGTCAATAGATATTGAGTGTCTTGCATAGTAAATTGTTTATAAATGCCTGCACTTTCTTGGTGATGGTTGCAGGTGTTCTCCAAGTTTCATCTCCGTACAGTCGAATCATCTTACCGTTCGTATTGAGTACGAACGGTATGAATTGGTTGAGATTTCTTTTTCATCTGTCGGAACGCTGCCATTGCTTTGTCAATCCTTGCCTTTGAATCTGCATCAGGTCCTCCTTATTTATCGATGATGTTTCCCAGATACGTAAAACATTCCACCTCTTCTAGTTTCTCCATCAAGTATGACTGTGCTGGTGTTTTCTGTCTTGTATTTGAGGAAGTTGCTTTTCCCTTGTATATGCTGAAAGGTGGTTGCGCAATTTCGTGGATTGGTTAAAGTTAGGTATCAACACTGTTGCATGCCGGCCAGCTCAGTGGTCTAGATTTTAAGCGTTCACGAGCGAGACCGAAGGTTCTGGATTCGAATTCCTTTGTACGGAATCGTGAATACGCACTGGTGAGAAGTCTCATACTAGGACGAAGCGGTTGTCCTGTGCTTCCAGGTTTTCAATGGTGGTCTAACATTAATTGATTCATGGTCTCAACCAAAACTTAGCAATCTCCACAACCTTACACCGATAATATATATAGTCAATGAATAATTGAAAATAACAACATGTCAATAAAAGATTTCACATATTTTACTTTTGTACACATTAGTCAAGTTAAAATACCTTATTACAATAAACTCGGAAAATCTTCGTCAAAACTATATTGGTTTTTAATTAGTTATTTTAGAAATGTTTTTTCTCAATCCTTCTTTTCAATATAAATACTATAATAAGTACACTTGAATTCACTATTTCAACTGAAAATGAATTCAGATAGATAATGATCTACTTCTGAGTAATTTACTAAACATTTGAAGTTATATTCTTAAATGAATTGAGTTAATCTAATTGTTTTTCCATCAGTTCTTCATGACATCTATATTACTAAAATCCAAGATCGATAAAAACAAGCATTTTTTTTTAGGTATCTAACTTTTCCAGTTCAAGATAATTTTACTAATCAGTTGATGCAATGGTTTAGCACTTAATAATCAATTTACTAACTTCATTTTTTCTAATTCATTCTCATGTATGATCTTAACTACTTGAAAAACTTTTCAAAACTGAATATCTCATTGAAAAGTTAATTGAAGGATTAAACTAGATCAGGAATATGTTCAAAATGTATCTTAACAGAAATAAGTTGATGGTTAAATGACTTCCTACGCAATATATTTAAAACTGTGCAATATTTATAATATTTAAAATCTTTCCTTCAGAAATACTTGATAAAATCATCGAGAATTGGGGAAATTGGGTAACCATTCCATCTAATGCATCTAATATGAAACATCTTAGGAATTTTTAGAAAAATGACGAGTTATAAGTTCTATTCTGATTGGATGTTTATATATTCCAGTTAGAATACTTTCAGTATTTTCCAAATTGTTCAGATTATTCATAAACCACTAAATATTATAGTTCATTGTGCATAAATTAACTATGAAGTGGAACTCCTACCTAAGATACGGCTAGGAAGTCATTATGTAATGGATAAAAACATGTTAGCAATTGATTTTTCTATTATCAAATTCATTGTTTCTTACCATTTTTACATTTTAAGCTAATGAATTACATAATGAAATGACAATAGAAACACTAGATTATTGAAACAACTTGATAGGAAATACAGTATATGTTGGTAAACAAAATTGACAGTTAAACAACAATCAGCTCAATTTGCTGCTGAATATAATAAACAAACAAAATGGTAAATCGGTACAAAGTATGATTCTTTTAGTGGAAATATCATTGTTTTCACAAATTACTAAACAATTTGTAGATCAAAATCACCCTGGTTAGTTCATAATTACTCGTCATGTGGATTGACAAAATACAATGATTTATAAAGTAATAGCAAATATGACGTTTAAGGGTTTATTAGATGAGAATTAATGAATGATGTACGTCAGACAGTTAAAACAATGATAAAGATTATGTCAATAAAACCAAATAGAAATGAAAATTAAATTTAATATGGTTAAATTAAAATCGATTTAAAGGTTTAGCGCTAAATTTATTAACTATGGTAAATGGTTAGAGGCGATCACCATAGCATCCGATTTCATAAAACAGGAGAATATCGAAACTCTATGTATGTTCTTAATGAATATATATATATATATATATATATATATATATATATATATATATATATATATATATATATATACTCTTCACTACACCTGGATGTTATTGACTTAATCACTTGTAGATTGTTTGATACGTACTATTAATGTCTTAAGTTAGTATTAGACGATTGTAAAGTTCCTTTTTTGCGAATACAATCTATTAATAAAGCATCGGTATATTTTTAAAAATTATTTTAGGTAGATAGGGGAACGTTTAAAGATAAATCTATCAATTGAAGGTGGTCTTAAACTATAATTTTTTATCTGGTTATCGTTTTTTCGGCGAGTTAGTTTTCTACGGGATATGGTCGCTAACCCAATGCTCAACCCTCCTCCTTTATCCGGGTTTGGGACCGGCAGTAGCCCCAGAGGGGCTCCAGGCGGAGTTGGTCTTAACCTATAGATATTATTAATAATAATATTGATATCATGGGTATCCTAAGTCACCCGAGTCTCATGAGTTAAGACATTGGAAACTAATGTGTAGTTAAAAAAATTCTAAAACTTTGAAAAGCATTCGTCAGAACTTTTTCGTTCACTTGTCGTTAGTCGTTACCTAATCAATTTAATCAATACATATTTCATTTCTTGAAATTCTATCAACTGCATTTGATTTAGGCATAACAAA